TTCATAAACTTAGCAATTCGAAACATTATAAACCATTTGTAATTTTATAAAAATGATAATTCTCAACAACTGACTTTATAAATTGTAGCTCTATAACTTGGTGATAAATGTAAATAGATACTGCGTCTAAAGTATCAATATCAGTGGGAAAACTCAGATGAGTATCGCAATGGTGACTCCCAGATGAATATCTCAATGGTGACTCCCAGATGAGTATTTCAATGGTGACTCTTAGATGAGTATCTCAATGAGTCTCAAATGTATATTTCAAATATTCATCTTTCATAATTATCTCTCGGCTTTATTGGCTCCTTTTACCATAAGTAACTTTCAGAAGCATCTTAAACACACATACCTCATATTTGTATCTTTTTCCCGATTATCTCTGAGTATCTATAACGAGTGTTTCTGTCACGTATCTGTAATAATTACATCTCACGTGTATGTATCATATATATGTGATGTTTCACATGTATCTTTGACATGTACTTTGAAACAGAAGACACCTTCGACTTGCTGGCTGCCGGAGCTGCCAAATCTGAGCTGCCCATCTTGACCCCTGTGTATGATGCTGTAGGAGTCTCGCTGCAGGAAGGGGTGGCTAGGGTGAGTACCTGTGTGGATAGGGTGAGTACCTGTGTGGCTAGGGTGAGTACCTGTGTGGTTAGGGTGAGTGCCTGTGTGGATAGGGTGAGTACCTGTGTGGCTAGGGTGAGTACCTGTGTGGCTAGGGTGAGTGCCTGTCTGGCTAGGGTGAGTGCCTGTCTGGCTAGGGTGAGTACCTGTCTGGCTAGGGTGAGTGCCTGTGTGGCTAGGGTGAGTACCTGTCTGGCTAGGGTGAGTGCCTGTCTGGCTAGGGTGAGTGCCTGTCTGGCTAGGGTGAGTGCCTGTGTGGCTAGGGTGAGTGCCTGTGTGGCTAGGGTGAGTGCCTGTGTGGCTAGGGTGAGTGCCTGTGTGGTTAGGGTGAGTGCCTGTGTGACTAGGTTGAGTGCCTGTGTGGCTAGATTGAGTGCCTGTGTGGCTAGGGTGAGTGCCTGTGTGGCTAGGTTGAGTGCCTGTGTGGCTAGGTTGAGTGTCTGTGTGGCTAGGTTGAGTGCCTGTGTGGCTAGGTTGAGTGTCTGTGTGGCTAGGTTGAGTGCCTGTGTGGCTAGGTTGAGTGCCTGTCTGGCTAGGATGAGTGCCTGTGTGGTTAGGATGAGTGCCTGTGTGGTTAGGGTGAGTGCCTGTGTGACTAGGTTGAGTGCCTGTGTGGTTAGGGTGAGTGTCTGTGTGACTAGGTTGAGTGCCTGTGTGGCTAGATTGAGTGCCTGTGTGGCTAGGGTTAGTGCCTGTGTGGCTAGGTTGAGTGCCTGTGTGGCTAGGTTGAGTGCCTGTGTGGCTAGGTTGAGTGCCTGTGTGGCTAGGTTGAGTGCCTGTGTGGCTAGGTTGAGTGCCTGTGTGGCTAGGTTGAGTGCCTGTGTGGCTAGGGTGAGTGCCTGTGTGGCTAGGTTGAGTGCCTGTGGGGCTAGGTTGAGTGCCTGTGTGGCTAGGGTGAGTGCTTGTGTGGCTAGGTTGAGTGCCTGTGTGGCTAGGTTGAGTGCCTGTGTGGCTAGGTTGAGTGCCTGTGTGGCTAGGTTGAGTGCCTGTGTGGCTAGGGTGAGTGCCTGTGTGGCTAGGTTGAGTGCCTGTGGGGCTAGGTTGAGTGCCTGTGGGGCTAGGGTGAGTGCCTGTGTGGCTAGGGTGAGTGCCTGTGTGGCTAGGGTGAGTGCCGGTGTGGCTAGGTTGAGTGCCTGTGTGGCTAGGTTGAGTGCCTGTGTGGCTAGGGTGAGTACCTGTGTGGCTAGGTTGAGTGCCTGTGTGGCTAGGTTGAGTGCCTGTGTGGCTAGGGTGAGTGCCTGTGTGGCTAGGTTGAGTGCCTGTGTGGCTAGGGTGAGTGCCTGTGTGGCTAGGTTGAGTGCCTGTGTGGCTAGGTTGAGTGCCTGTGTGGCTAGGTTGAGTGCCTGTGTGGCTAGGTTGAGTGCCTGTGTGGCTAGGGTGAGTACCTGTGTGGCTAGGGTGAGTACCATTTTGGCTGGGGAAAATACATGCGTGGCTAAGGTGGGTATGTGTGGCCAGGTTTAATACCATCGTGGATAGTATTCAAACTATTTTTATTTTGGAAGGTGGACGGCCTCTAATTTACTGACTTGCACAGGAGACGGCTATTGGCATAGCCGGATTCGACAGGGAATTGACAGAGCCAGACGCATTTACTGTGCTTCCAAAGGAACAGCTTCAGCATCCCGTCCGTTAGAGGATTACGTTGTTTCGACATCCCGTCCCTTCTTTTATAACATACTGTTCTGACCTCACGTCGGTGCTGCCCATACCGGCCATTTTGAGAGGGGATGGTACAACCTACAGTCATTTTAGCCAGCTTGATCAGCCATCTCCTCTCCACCTTAGGTCGTGACCTCCTCTCTCCCCCTTACCCTTCCACTAGCACTCCTGCTGTTGTTGTTGTTGTATAATATTCGCTACCCGGAACAAAATGTTCTAAGTAGCACGGGCAATGGAGAGCCCGTTGTCGCACTCCAGCGAGCGCAAAGTCCTAACCAGGCACCCTCTCCCTACACCCACTCCCTCCGCAATGTCTGCACTGTGCTATATGGGGTGACCCGCAGTTTCCATCAATATCCAGCTTACCGCCCGTCCTATATATGGCCAAGACACGGGCCTTATCATTCAGCCTGTCTGAAACTAGCTATAACATATCATGCCGGATCAAGGTTGCTATAAGCATCATCCAGACAGAGCCTATACTCTCCATTATTCCTTCTTCCTCGGGATCACTAACCACCCCTCAACTCTTCAAGGTTTAGCCTCGGCGAGATACATGTCACCTGTGCTGCTTCCTAAGAGATATCTCGCCTCACAACCCATAACTCTGCGGTATTTTCAACCCGCGTTTCAGTTATACAATTTTTGTATCAATATTTCATTCATTCATGCATTTATCCATCTCTTTATTAGCAGAAGTGGTTCGTAAAGGAGAGCAAGGGAGAGTGAGAGAGAGTGATGGAGAGGTAATTACCCACTCAGGAAGGGGAGTCAGATGGTTGATTTAATGAGACGCACCAGCCACACACCTCCCTCCTTGAGACTGGCAAATATAATTAACCCTCACAGACGTCCCAATTAACCCGCAGGGTCTTCAGTACTGCTACCAGTTTCTAGTTAAACTCTGTTATATATCTATAGAAATATCCGAACCGATCCTACTGACCCAAGATAAATTGTCACAGCTTACTCTCAACTGCATATGATTTCGCCCATCTTCAACATTATATAATATATCGCTATCTGTTAATAATATACAAACATTAATTATTTAACTCGACTACATAGGTTATATACATGCAAAGAGGAAATGTTTAAGGCCCACACTACTTTCTTCGGGCATATTATTAAACATTATTTGTCTAGAGGACAAATAATGTTTAATTATTTTATTAATTTATTTTTTATTAATTTTTTATTATTATTTAATTAATTTAATTTAATTATTAATTATTAATAAATTATTAATTATTTTTAATAATTAATTATTAAATGATGACCAACCCTTCATAACGGTCCAGGACGGACCGAAATGTTATCGTTTCTTCACTTTCTGATATCTGCTTCGGTCATCATTATTTGGTAACTGATTTATTATCAAAAGCTGCAATAGTTATAATATTCCAGGATCACCTAATAATACTCTCTAGCATACGACTCGTATGATAGTTCAATACTTAATTACATTAACTCCTGAAACGCCTGATAGGCAGCTCCTTATCCATACTCTCACAAACAGCCATTAGGAATCACTAGCAAATAGATCGAGGAATTTTATTTCTTATAAGAAATAATAATACTCTATTACACCCATATTATTAAACATTTCAGTATATTATTTGTTTAGCAGCTATTGATATATTATTAATTCAATAACTGCACGAACATAACCTATCCTACCCCTAAACTAACAGCCCTACATTTCTCCTTACCTATCCTAAGATATCTTACCATATCCTAACCAGGGGAGCCGGTCTGCCGAGCGGACAGCACGCTGGACTTGTGATCCTGTGGTCCTGGGTTCGATCCCAGGCGCCGGCGAGAAACACTGGGCAGAGTTTCTTTCACCCTATGCCCCTGTTACCTAGCAGTAAAATAGGTACCTGGGAGTTAGTTAGCTGTCACGGGCTGCTTCCTGGGGGTGGAGGCCTGGTCGAGGACCGGGCCGTGGGGACACTAAAAATCCCCGAAATCATCTCAAGATAACCTCAAGATAACCTCAAGATAACCAACCTATCCTATCCTTACCTTTCCCATCCTACCCTAACTTAACCTATCCTATCCTAACCAAACCCAACTTAACCTATCCTATCTTAATTTCACCTATTATATCCAAAACCTAAACCTAACCAAACTCGATCCATTCAAGTCTGAATAACCTAATCTATCCCACACTATTCTAGCTTAACCTAACCTAGCCCAACCTAACGTATTCTATCCAAGTCTTAACCTAATACACGCTAGCCTAGCTTTTGCTATATCAGGCTAGTTACATCTACTTGCTACAGCTCCCGCATTACTCCAAATGGCTTCACTGTATCGAAACACAGCAGAAACAAAAGCTCAAATAAGTCCCGTCCCTCCCAGCCTATCAATCCTGTTTGTATTCACGACTAAGTTATTGTTAAAACGAGGTTTTTGTCTGCAATATTTTCATGCATTAATTGTTCAAGTTAATCGTTTTCCATATAATCAAAGGAGACAGAAAGAGAGAGGTTCTCATCTAGCGTTTTAGGGACGCTGAACATTCTCTTTTCTCACATAAGAGACAAGTAACCGTCACATTCCAAGACTGTGAATGAGCTCATTCACTCACTCATTCATTCGTGGTGATCGCTCTCGTCGAATGCCACGATAATTGACCACGAAGTCATCACCAACGGTAAAGACTATGATAAGGTTGATGTAGCATCAGTCTGGTCAATCAATACGCCCCTTTAATCAATATTTTAGCTAAGGGGTGGAAAGGACCTCAGAGAAGTAATTTATTAGAAAATATAACAATTTCTACCTTTTAGACGTAAATATAGTTACACTGGACAAAGATTGAGATATACATCTTAACATAACAAAGGGTGAAATGGGGAGCCATTAGGTCTCAAACTTAGCTCTGCTTTAGGTCGGGGTTGAGTTGTCGGTGAAACTATACTTTCTGTGAGATGTTTTGGGATGAAAAAGTATAATTCCAGTATAGACTGGAATATGATGGACAACAAAAATTAGAAATTAAGAAGATGCAATTTGCTATGTTAGATGTTGATATATTTTGAAGACGAATAGACATATGGCTCTGAAAAGTAAAAGTTTGACAACATATTTCGTATACACATACCCACTGTTTCTTAAATGATATGAGCATGAGATGTATGCCGTGGGTTAAATAATAATTGACGAAAGATATGCTTTTGAGAGAAATGCGTGGATATATGTGCACTTGCCAATGATGCATCAAAAAATGAAAAAAAAAATACATAAACATATCTTTATTGGTAAAACTGATATAACATTATTAACATTGTGTCGGGTTAAATATGGAATTGATGAAACTGTGATTTTAGGAAGAGTATATTCACATGTCTTTATTCATAAAAATATGATGCTTAAAAGAAAATAAATACTTGATATTGTTATCCTGCCAACATAATAACATCGAAAACGTACCGTTAATGCATTCAAGAAATATGTTGACATGCTTTTAAAAACTGATATAAAAAGTTATGTCTCGGAAATATTTGTTACAGGAAAAGTTGTGTTACAGAAAGTGCCAAAGATTTAAAGTTAAAAAAAAAATTTAATGTCGAAAGAAATTTTATAGTTTGAAAGTTTTGTAAACACTTCTCAAAAAAATGGTACTGATTCAGCTGACTGTTACAGCATAAGAACAAATTCAGAAGCCTTGTGTGGCAAAAACACTGGGCCACTGACAACACATTCCCCCTCTACAAGATATCTAGGCAAAAGCCATGAGACAAACTGGATCTTGAAGGTAACTATCAGTTATACCACCTAGGACAGTGCAGACAGTTGTGGACGGCGTTGGTGGGTAGAGGGGCAACCGGGTGACTATCCTTAACAGGGCCAACTAGATGGGCAGGGGAGTGTCACAACCTAAGGTGGATAGGAGATAGCTGATCAAACTGGCTTAAACTGACTGTGGGTAGGGGTAGTGCCGTCGTCCCCTATTAAAACGATCGTTATTAACAAAACGAATTTAATGTTAAAACGGAGGTGATGCTCATAGGGACGTGATTCTGGAGCCTTCCCCTTAGGGAGCATAGTAAATGCGTCTGGCTCCGCTCGTCCCCTATCAAAGCCGGCTGTACCAATATCCGCCTCCCCGGCCTAAGGGACGTCTCGTTGGCAAAATCCAATAGGGGACGGTCGTAGCCCCAGATTATTCAACTTAGGGTGAGCTACTTTGGTGCTAGGGAGAGTATCCCTGTGGCTAGGATAAACAAATCTGTGTAGCTACGGTGAGTACCTATATAGTTTGGGTAAGTTTCAGTATGGATAAGGTGAGTACCTTTGTGCTTAGGGTGAGAATCTCTGTGGGTAGAGTACCTGAATAACTAGGTACGTGTGTGCCTAGGGTGAGCACCTCTGTGGCTAGGATGAGTACATATGTGGTTACGGTCAGTGCTTGTGTGATACAGTGTGTCTAGGGTGGCTAACTGTGCTGCTAGTGTGAGTTCCTGTCTTACTAGGGTGAGTACCTACGTGTTAGTAAAAGTACTGGTATTCTACTGCAGTCTTTAAGTAATCCGTCTTTTTAACACAAATATTTTATCCTAACAATAACATAAATTATACTTACATTAACACTAATATTAATATCAACTGTATAACAAAAATCTGCTCAAATTTCCGATTTGCTCCCTAAAATAAGTCTTCAACCAATGTTCTCTGTTCTTGTTCACAAGAGGAAATAAGTTATTTGAAGTATGTATAATGACAAAAGTCTGTTAAGTTCTGATGCTGCTCATCTGATATTGCTGTTCATTTACTCGTGCAGAAATCCCTGGCGTCAGCAGAGGTGTATCCGGACGCGAGACTCCAATCCAAAGATTCTGAGAACTATCAGGCTTTAAGACTCCAACACAACGACCACCTAGAGGGCTATCCGGGGGTCCGTGCTGTGAATAAAGACTCCAAGAGTTATCCAGGAGTCCGTCTTACGTACTCAGACCCCGAGGATGACCAGGGGTTGCGGCCCCTAAGCAGAGGCTCCGAGGAATATCTTGACATAAGGACTCAGCACCAAGACTCTTCCGATGAATACCCAACGAGAAGACTTCATAACCAAGAGTCTTCTCCCGAAGAGTATCCTGGGAAGAGGCGTCAACATCAAGATGATAACCCCGAAGAATGCCAAGAGAAGAGACTTCGGCACGAAGACCTTTCTCCGGAGGAATATCCGGGGAGAAGGTTTCAGCGTCAAAATTCCCCCGAAGAATACCCACGAATAAGTCTTCAGCACCAGGACCCCTCCGAAGAGTACCTAGGAAGGGGCCTACAGCATCTTAGGTCGTCCGAAGAATTCTCGGCAAGGAGACTTCACCACCACGACCCGACGGACGATTACCACAGCAGGAGATTTCAACACCAAGATTCTCCAGAGGAATATCCGGGGAGTCATCATCATCATCATCATCATCATGACCCCTCTGATGAGTGCCCGGATAAGAGGCTTCAACAAGAAGACTCCGAAGATTATACGAAAGCAAGGACTGACTTCCACTGTCCGGTGGACCAACTGATGCAGGCCACCGAGACGGTGGTCTGAGAGCCCCGCGCCAACACGTAGAGATGGTGAGTCGTTCCCAATGGAGTAGCACAAGGCTCTGTCCTGCAACCTCTGCCCTTTTTCCTGTATTATATATATATATATATATATATATATATATATATATATATATATATATATATATATATATATATATATATATATATATATATATGACTTAGATTTAGGTAGGCACCAACACAACAAAATATTTAACTGACGGTGACATTAAAATTCAGATGATATCGGACCTGGACGACTTGAACAGACATTAAATGTGCAGATGATAGGCAGATGCAGTTATATGATCTCAGAAGTGCAGTTTCAGAGCGGAGAAATGATAACATGGCTGCCAGGCACCAGCTGAATAGCGCTGAAAATGGCGACATCTGAATGTGAGAAAGATACTGGGTAATTATAAGAGTATGGAACAAAGGGACATTTAGTGAATAGATTTTCGTCCCATATAAAGCGAATACGAAATTTGGTTTCTAGAAGAGTTAGTGATACAATATCTAATGTTATAATTCAGTTTATTTTGGTTCAATTAAGATTATTTTGATCAGTATTGGGCATCGAACTACATAATGAACATAAGTTTTCTTGAACGTGTTCAAAAAAAGAAAGGATTTATATATATACAAATAGATGAAAAGATTCAGCTAGAATATATTAATTGTTAAATATAATATAAAAATAATACGAAATATGATGTATAGTGAAATACACTTGATCTCGAAAAAAAAAACTGTAAAAATTTATTTGGAAAAGAAGTAGTGATTTTTTGCAACAGGATCTAAAAGTGGTACAGTGGTACAGCACTGAGCTTTGTGGCGTGGTGGTACAGCACTCAGTTTTGTGGTGTGGTGGTACAGCACTCAGCTTTGTGGTGTGATGGTACAGTGGTACAGCACTCAGCTTTGTTGCGTGGTGGTACAGTGGTACAGCACTCAGCTTTGTTGCGTGGTGGTACAGTGGTACAGCACTCAGCTTTGTGGTGTGGTGGTACAGTGGTACAGCACTCAGCTTTGTGGCGTGGTGGTACAGTGGTACAACACTCAGCTTCGTGGAGTGGTGGTACAGTGGTACAGCACTCAGCTTTGTGGTGTGATGGTACAGTGGTACAGCACTCAGCTTCATGGAGTGGTGGTACAGTGGTACAGCACTCAGCTTCGTGGTGTGGTGGTACAGTGGTACAGCACTCAGATTTGTGGTGTGGTGGTACAGCACTCAGCTTTGTGGTGTGGTAATACAGTGATACAGCACTCAGCTTCATGGAGTGGTGGTATAGTGGTACAGCACTCAGTTTTGTGGTGTGGTGGAACAGCACTCTGCTTTGTTGCGTGGTGGTACAGTGGTACAGCACTCAGCTTTGTGGCGTGGTGGTACAGTGGTACAGCACTCAGCTTTGTGGTGGTACAGTGGTACAGCACTCAGCTTTGTGGCGTGGTGGTACAGTGGTACAACACTCAGCTTCATGGAGTGGTGGTACAGCACTCAGCTTTGTGGTGTGGTGGTACATTGGTACAGCACTCAGCTTCGTGGTGTGGTGGTACAGTGGTACAGCACTCAGCTCTGTGGTGTTGTGGTACAGTGGTACAAAACTCAGCTTTGCATCACGCGGGCGGAAGTTCGAGCCCTAGCAAAGGCGTTTGGAATTTTCAAGTATATAAAATGCATGCAATATACCATTCAGGTTTATAACTTGATTATATATATATATATATATATATATATATATATATATATATATATATATATATATATATATATATATATATATATATAACTGAAAACTCACACCCCAGAAGTGACTCGAACCCATACTCCCAGAAGCAACGCATCTGGTATGTACAAGACGCCTTAATCCACTTGACCATCACGACCGGACATAATGAGGTGATAGCCGAGGCTATTTGAACCACCCCACCGCCGGCACTCGGATAGTTATCTTGGGCATAGCATTTTACCAAATCACCTCATTCTTTGGGGCAACACGTGAGGAACACAAATGCGAACAAGCCTGAATGGTCCCCAGGACATATGCAACTGAAAACTCACACCCCAGAAGTGACGTGATGGGTTCGAGTCACTTCTGGGGTGTGAGTTTTCAGTTGCATATGTCCTGGGGACCATTCAGGCTTGTTCGCATTTGTGTTCCTCACGTGTTGCCCCAAAGAATGAGGTGATTTGGTAAAATGCTATGCCCAAGATAACTATCCGAGTGCCGGCGGTGGGGTGGTTCAAATAGCCTCGGCTATCACCTCATTATGTCCGGTCGTGATGGTCAAGTGGATTAAGGCGTCTTGTACATACCAGATGCGTTGCTTCTGGGAGTATGGGTTCGAGTCACTTCTGGGGTGTGAGTTTTCAGTTGCATATGTCCTGGGGACCATTCAGGCTTGTTCGCATTTGTGTTCCTCACGTGTTGCCCCAAAGAATGAGGTGATTTGGTAAAATGCTATGCCCAAGATAACTATCCGAGTGCCGGCGGTGGGGTGGTTCAAATAGCCTCGGCTATCACCTCATTATGTCCGGTCGTGATGGTCAAGTGGATTAAGGCGTCTTGTACATACCAGATGCGTTGCTTCTGGGAGTATGGGTTCGAGTCACTTCTGGGGTGTGAGTTTTCAGTTGCATATGTCCTGGGGACCATTCAGGCTTGTTCGCATTTGTGTTCCTCACGTGTTGCCCCAAAGAATGAGGTGATTTGGTAAAATGCTATGCCCAAGATAACTATCCGAGTGCCGGCGGTGGGGTGGTTCAAATAGCCTCGGCTATCACCTCATTATGTCCGGTCGTGATGGTCAAGTGGATTAAGGCGTCTTGTACATACCAGATGCGTTGCTTCTGGGAGTATGGGTTCGAGTCACTTCTGGGGTGTGAGTTTTCAGTTGCATATGTCCTGGGGACCATTCAGGCTTGTTCGCATTTGTGTTCCTCACGTGTTGCCCCAAAGAATGAGGTGATTTGGTAAAATGCTATGCCCAAGATAACTATCCGAGTGCCGGCGGTGGGGTGGTTCAAATAGCCTCGGCTATCACCTCATTATGTCCGGTCGTGATGGTCAAGTGGATTAAGGCGTCTTGTACATACCAGATGCGTTGCTTCTGGGAGTATGGGTTCGAGTCACTTCTGGGGTGTGAGTTTTCAGTTGCATATGTCCTGGGGACCATTCAGGCTTGTTCGCATTTGTGTTCCTCACGTGTTGCCCCAAAGAATGAGGTGATTTGGTAAAATGCTATGCCCAAGATAACTATCCGAGTGCCGGCGGTGGGGTGGTTCAAATAGCCTCGGCTATCACCTCATTATGTCCGGTCGTGATGGTCAAGTGGATTAAGGCGTCTTGTACATACCAGATGCGTTGCTTCTGGGAGTATGGGTTCGAGTCACTTCTGGGGTGTGAGTTTTCAGTTGCATATGTCCTGGGGACCATTCAGGCTTGTTCGCATTTGTGTTCCTCACGTGTTGCCCCAAAGAATGAGGTGATTTGGTAAAATGCTATGCCCAAGATAACTATCCGAGTGCCGGCGGTGGGGTGGTTCAAATAGCCTCGGCTATCACCTCATTATGTCCGGTCGTGATGGTCAAGTGGATTAAGGCGTCTTGTACATACCAGATGCGTTGCTTCTGGGAGTATGGGTTCGAGTCACTTCTGGGGTGTGAGTTTTCAGTTGCATATGTCCTGGGGACCATTCAGGCTTGTTCGCATTTGTGTTCCTCACGTGTTGCCCCAAAGAATGAGGTGATTTGGTAAAATGCTATGCCCAAGATAACTATCCGAGTGCCGGCGGTGGGGTGGTTCAAATAGCCTCGGCTATCACCTCATTATGTCCGGTCGTGATGGTCAAGTGGATTAAGGCGTCTTGTACATACCAGATGCGTTGCTTCTGGGAGTATGGGTTCGAGTCACTTCTGGGGTGTGAGTTTTCAGTTGCATATGTCCTGGGGACCATTCAGGCTTGTTCGCATTTGTGTTCCTCACGTGTTGCCCCAAAGAATGAGGTGATTGGTAAAATGCTATGCCCAAGATAACTATCCGAGTGCCGGCGGTGGGGTGGTTCAAATAGCCTCGGCTATCACCTCATTATGTCCGGTCGTGATGGTCAAGTGGATTAAGGCGTCTTGTACATACCAGATGCGTTGCTTCTGGGAGTATGGGTTCGAGTCACTTCTGGGGTGTGAGTTTTCAGTTGCATATGTCCTGGGGACCATTCAGGCTTGTTCGCATATATATATATATATATATGAGTATATATTCTTCTTAAGTTTCTCACTTTTTTATTCTAATATACATTAATGCTTCATAAAGTTCATGTCGATGATTATAAGTCTATTACTTTTTATTAATACAAAACAATGTGCGTACTGTTTTTTACCAATATTAGTTATTGTATTTCCAAATATATTTATGTATTGATTCAACATCATCTTAAAACTATATACAACACATGGCAATGTTAATATGTCCAAAGAGCTTCTCTAATCTCACTAGCTCTCATTTTTTCTCAAAACCTTTCATTTTATCACGAAAACTTTCACATTCACTCAAAAGACTCACCTCATCTCCCTTTTCATCTCCCTTTTCATCTCCCAATTCTCTCTCATTTTCTTTCCATTGCTCTAATTGTCTCTCAAA